TCACCGATCAGGAGGAAGTAGTTTACTTCCTGCCATTTAAAATGGAAACACCAGGACCCGTTAGCCACAGTTAGCTTAGCTGTAACGTAAATTAACGCCGACACACTTTGTTGACATTATTCCTCGACGAACCCTCAGATAGTTCAAACTTTTGTAATCCAGACGGAGTGGAGATGCGTCGCAGAGGAGTCGGAGCAGAAGAAGAAGCTCGCGCAGGTAGAGTCGGTGAACTTGTGTTTTCACGTCAGCGTTGAAGAAGTTTAGTGAAAGTTTGGTTTTTCTGTTTCTCTTCGGGCGAAAATACAAAGAGAGAGAGGAAGCGTCCTGGCGGAGGATCAGATTGTTCAGGTGAGTCCACGGAAACCTCTTCAGTATCCATCAGCTCAGTTCCCTGGTGAATGTAAATATAGTTCTGCTTCATCTGTTATTTGACATCGTTTCGTGATTATCTCGACTGTTGCATCTGTTATTTCCAGACTAAATGAATCTGCTGAGTGTTTAATCAACAGTTTTATTCATTAAAACATCAGACAACTCGTTTTTTAGAAGATATATAATTTTCTTGCTTGAAGATGACAAATACAAGTTACAGTAGCTATTGAATGGACTCGACTGGACAAAGCTAGGTTGCCTCGAACATGACAATGTTCCTAAGTGATTTTTGACACTGATCTAAATCTGCCGCGTGTTTCCAGCGAGTGTTAATGTGTCTGGTGATGTTAAACTGTGCTCTGCGTTGTTCATTGAATCATTCACCGAATAATTTGTCTTTCTTCCTCCAGATGTCCGAACAGCTGGAGACGTTCAAATCAAACCTGGAAGAGTTCGCCAGCAAACACAAACAAGAAATTCGAAAGAACTCACAGTTCAGGGTTCAGTTTCAGGAAATGTGTGCTGCCATCGGAGTCGACCCACTTGCCTGTTAGAATCCTTAAGTATGCAATCAAATGAAGAGATAACGAGCTGTGTGTTCAAATCACATGTTCTACTGTCACGTCTAATAATTCCTGTTTTTATTTTTGTCTTCACAGCTGAGAAAGGTTTCTGGTCTGAGATGCTCGGGGTTGGTGACTTCTACTACGAGCTCGGTGTTCAGATTATTGAAGTGTGCCTGGCGCTGAAACACAGAAATGGAGGTTGGTAATTTGTCACCGTATTCAAAGCATGTCTGCACGGTTCTTATCAGCAGGAGATGAAGTTGTGAAATCACTGCAGCAGATTCATAGTGTGTTTTCCTTCAGGGCTCATTACTTTGGATGAACTCCATCAGAGAGTTCTGAGAGGAAGAGGTAAGTACGCTCAGGATGTGAGTCAGTGAGTGAAGCCACTCAACATTTCAAACAGTTAATTATGTTAATGACTGGTGTCCATCTTCATCTACACACCATGTTTAGGTAATTGAGTTCAAATTGTGGGAAATACAGATGTTTGTTTGTTCTCTTGTAGAAAAAGGGATACGTCACAGTGAGATCAAGGCAGGTCTTAAATGGGAGAAGGAGCGAGCTTGTCGTGTTCTGGTGAGTGTCGATTGAAAACATCACAATGTGCTCTGTGAAGACGTGTTTGTGTCTTTTAGCTTTTTGTGGAGTCAAACTTTTTCAGAGTTGTTAGCAGAGAAAAGAATTGTAACATAGCTGTGAAGGAGTGAAAATGGGATATAATGATAAATAACTCAAGGTTATTATATCTTTTCCATCAGTCCTTTCTCTCTTTGCTCCCATGTTTCCAGGATCACCTGCTGAAAGAAGGTTTGGCCTGGTTGGACTCTCAGGCAGCCGGAGAGTCACAGTACTGGCTGCCCGCTCTCTTCTCCGAGCTCACATCCCGTGATGTCACACCGGAGGAGGCCAATCAGATGACACCTTAAAAAAAAAAAAGAAAAAGAAAAAGCTGGGCTGGACTACGAGCTGGTGACATTTTCAGACACGTTGGAAAATAAACCGTGCGTGATGTGAAGGCTCATGTGATGGACTTGGCTGGTTCACTGGAGCTGGCAGCGAACTCCCTCCGAGAGGATTCTCTGGACACGAGGAATGAAAACTCACTTGGGTTTTTACTGAGTCACTGAAATCAGCTCGATGTCCGTTACACTGCGTTTGAAAGTCAGTGTAACATCTGTTGATGTCATGGTCGGTGGTCAGTCACTCTCATTGCACATTTAACTGTTTACCTTTGCACAAAGAAACTTTTACTCCGACAGAAAAGACAACATCAACTTTATTACACAAGTCGAACCAAGATTTTATTAAATCAGCGGGACCATTTTCCACGTGCTAATGGTCATTGGCACAAATTCACTGGTTCTATTGTTCAGTCTCTTCGACTACAACACTTCATCCTGTCAAGTTTATTTTAACAACAGATTCAAATGAACACTCGAATCAACAGATCTGATGCAAAGTGCAAAGCTTCAATGGAATAATAGCGAAAAAAATATATTTTTTTAAGGATCACGTGATTTTCTTCAGTGTGTTTTTGCCCATTCACCATAAATCATGTTTACCTCACTGCTCATTATTTTCCAAAGGTTTTCTTGAGGTTTTACATTTGTCAAACCTCCAGGAGTCCAACGAGACTCATTCATTTCTATTTAAAAGTACAGTGTGTAGAATTTAGTGATATCTAGTATCTCACCTCACCCTCTCCTTCCAAACACAGACATCAATCGGTCCTTTCACCTAAATCTTACACAGTGGACCTTTGAGATACAGGTTCATCGATACAGAAACTCTGGAGGCGTCATATTAGCTTAAGTGTAAAATAAAATGCACAATTGTGTTATAATTCACTTTAGACCTTTTTAAAAATCAAGCAATTAAAAGATCAAATTGTACCGAAATAACTGTGGCTGTGAACCGACAGAGAACAAATCGGCTCCTTTAGGAAACTTTAAAAGTCTTTGGAATTTACGCTTCAGATTTAAAAGAAAGATTTAAAATGCAGCAGCAGTTTTAAAGTTAACTATAATTGGCAGTAAATGACTTTAAACTAAAAATACCACTATAGTCTTTTAACCATGACCACCTAACTGGCAGTATTTGTAAAATAATAACCATAAGCCACCACAGTGTCGGCCCCGGTGCAGATCTCACAGCTCGTGGCTGTAGACGTGATCCTCGAACACGGACTGCTCCATGTTGTCGCAGATCACCGTGCAGAAGGGACACACTCTGTGACTGTCCTCGTGCTGCTCCAGTTCACCTCGGGTGATGCCAGGGAAGCTCTCGTGGCAGTGACGACACACCAGCGACTGCCGGGGACAGAAATAGAGACGGCATCGTCACATGTGGTAACAAAATATGGAGCAGATTAGGTTTAAAGTCCACGTCGAAAATAAACGGTAAACAACAGCCGGGTCGCTCACGGCACCGCAGGAGGGAGGGAGGGAGGCCCCTCGTCTTTAACCTCACTTCACATGCTTTTCTTTCTGTTTCCTATGATTTTAAACTGATGAACTCTGCTGCACGCTCTGATTTAACAGTTTGTTGGTTTTGTCAGAGAAAGACTGGACTCACCTCCTCTGGTTCTGCAACGTCATCTGTGAGGAGAGAAAAATCAGTTATTACAAAATAACACAATTATGGTTTTCTCATGTTTTATTCTGGGTTTGCAACTAATACTTGAGTTTCTTTATTGATTCGACAATTTATTTTCCTGATCAGTCGATCGTGTGATCTAAGAAAAATACAGAGTCGCCTTTGTCATTGGTGAGAGCGTCTCAAAATCTCTATTGTGAAAACCCCTGAACCGACCCCCCTTCATGAAAAACATTTAGATTCTGTCTTTATTGTCTTAAGTCTGATTTTGAAAACAGCCAAAACTGCAGAGTGTTCCCCTCAGAGCCGGTCTCTCACCTATGGTTTCGTACATGTGCTCCTCCGGACCCGGTGCGGGGGCGGTTGAAGTGTTTCCAGCTGGAGAGGTGGAGTCCGGCCCTACCTTTGGTGAGTCGGCGGCGGGGGCTGCGTGGAAGTCGGCATAGGCTGTGCGCAGGCCCTCCATGTTGCTCCTGAGATTCTGACAGAATAAACAGAGTTGACGAAGCAAGTGTTAAAAAAACAAAACAGAAAACAACATGACAAAGATTTTGAGAGTGAAGAAGGTGTTTGTGTAGATGTACGTTGTTTTCTCTGGTGAGCTCTTCGTTCTCGTGTCTCACGAGCTTTATCATGTGCTCCTTCTCTTCTATGATGTCGTCTTTATCTGCATGTGCTTCCAGCGCCTCTCTGAGCTGCAGCTGGAAAGTTACGCAGGAAAACAAGTTCAAATGTCAACACACGTAGAGGCCACATCTCGTGATACACTGAAGTTATGTGGACACCTGAATCGTGTCTGATATGTTGTGTTTGTTTGTCAGAACTGATTTCCCTGACATTCTGTGGAGCTCATCTCAAAGGTGTCGGGGAGCAGCCGGTTCCTCCTCAGCACCAAAAGTAAACAACTTCTTGTCCATATACTTGTGGCCACACACCCTAGAAGTCTAGATCTTATCTTTGCTCGAGTTTACCTCGAATTTGTTGCTTTTCCGTTGTTCCTCCTCACATTTCATGACCATGGTCTCCAGCTGCTTCTCGTCCTTCATCACTTTCTCCCTCAGAGCCTCAACTTGTCTCTTGGCGTTTCTGGTCTCGTCCCTCTCGGTCGCCAGCGTCGCCTGAGTGTTCTGCAGCTGGCTGGTGAGCGCCTGACACCGCTCCTGAAGAGGACGCACGGTAGCGCTGAGATCATCTGGTGACTCCTGCTGCGACTCCTGCTGCGCCTCCTGCTGCGACAGCCTCTGACATAACTCCTGGTTCACTCTCTTCATGTCCTCCCTGTCGTGTGTGATGCTCTGCAACTCCGCGGCGAGCCTCTGGTTCTTTTTCTCGCTGCTCTGGAGATCCACCTGTCAGGAGGTAAAGACACAGACAGTCTGAACTTTTCTCATCGTCTCAGTCGTGAACAGGTTTGTTTTGCACTTTTGTGGATTATTCTTCACTAATGAAGCGGATATCTACTGATCCACTGCTTCCTGCTCTGTACCTGCAGAAGCTGGATGCTGTCTTTGGTTTTTAACAGCTCCCGTTCTCCTTCTCTGAGTTTGCAGCTCAGCCTAAAACATGTTAGAAAAAACGTTGTGTGTTAACGTCTAAACGCGCCACATGTATTTTCGTGTTGGACGTTAGAAAGAGCGCAGACTCCACTCACTTGTCGATTTCCTGACTTTGGGCATCAATCGTCCCCTTCAGCTCCTTGTGCTCGTCTTTCATCTGGTTGATCTTCATCACAGCTCGATCGTATTTCTCCTGAGTGCGTGTCTGAAAATAAACGATAACAAAGAAGAATATTAAAGGAGGAAACTGACGTGAGATTTTATTTGTATTAAACGAGAACTTCAAATGATCTTTACCTCACTTTCAGTTGCGGCTCTGCGCTGCTCGAGCTCCAGTAGCTTTGTCGTCTGGGCCAACAGCTCCTCCTGGTAACGACATTGTTTTTGCAGTTCAGTTTTCACCATAATTTACGTTTAAATTTCACACGTGGACCGAGAACAAACCTTTAAAAGGTCCATTTCCTGAATTTGCTGCTGTAAGATGCTTTTTAAGTTTCCATTTTCTTCCTTGATTTGATCCATTTCTCCCACCAGGTGACTGTTCTCTCTCTCCTTCTCTTGCTGTTCATTCTGCTCCTGCACGAGTCAGTGACACCGCATCAAACACCAAAGTTCAATCTTTATTTCACTGTTGCACAACAAGCAAACACGTTCACGACCACACAAACACTTGGTTTGAAATGAAACTCACTTTTGAGACGGCAGCGCCTTGTCTTTCCTTCTCTAAAGCACTTTTCAAGGTTTGGTTTTCCTGCCGAATTTGATCCAACTCCTTCTGCAGCTCGTCTCTCTCGCGGACGCTCTGTTCCACCTGTTCCTGCGCTCAGCAAAACACATGAAGTCGATATCAAGCTGATGTTTACTTTGAAAAGACACAGATCTATTGGCATCAGCAGTTTTTCGGCCACTCGATGTTGAACTTTTTAACATTAGAGATGTTCTGATATCATCATTACCTTCCCCATGAGATACCTGGACTTTGCATATCAGCTAGACATCATGTCGGACAGATTCACATACTCGCCGATGCCTGACCTGACATTTTGATCGGTATCTGCATCAGAATATCTCTAACCAGCAGCTCGAAGCCAAACAAATACTCAGATAAAAAAGATAGTCCCTTGCTTTTGCTCCAAATCTTTTGTTTGCATTCGATACCTGTGTTGTAACAACCAGGATGTCATCATCCAGTCTGGAGTTCAAGCTCTGCTCCTCTGGGTTTTTGAAGCAGAAGGGAGTGCTGGCTCCTCGCACCTGACCCGTGCTGTCGATGTAGCAGAACTGGTAGAACTCGATCTCGTCCTTGGGCAGGTAGTAATCTGACGGGATGAGGCCGTAGAGGAGAGAGATGTGAAACTGAACTCAGACAACAACCAACTGAACTTAGACAATCCGTCTCTTTGTCCAGATCAAAACCAAAACACAATCTTGACCTCAGTTGTGTGTTTCTGTGTCTGCGGATCAGATTTACGTTTAAATCTGTTGACACGCAACACGATCAGAGTGTACGTCACAAACACAAAGGCCCAGCTCATCCTTACCCTTAAAAACCGTCTGCCTGGTCACTGACCCCTGTCCCCCCACATCCAGACACGGCTCCACCCACACGAAGGTGTGATAATCCTTAGCTGAGTTCCAGCCCACCTGCAAACGAAGCGTCATGAGAAACTCAGCACAGGTCGATGTGGCACACGATGTTAAAGGTTTTAACCCTGGTTGGATAAAACACAACCTTTAAAACAAATATCGCTGCAACTGTTATTTTCTTCAGTCTGAATAAAGACAAGAAACTGTTCTACTACATGAAAAAAAAAGGAAACACTCACATTCAAAGTCTAAAAACTGTATTCAGCAAGTTAACTGTTCTAACCAGCTCCACCACACACACTTCAGTGTTTCAGAATCATTTGTGTTTTTATATTTGCACCATTAACTCCATTCACAACAGAGCTATTACATATGATTTATCGTGACACTCTCTCATCCACCGGTGTCTCACCTTGAAGATGCCCACCCAGTCCCTGGGGTGAGGCTGGAAGGCAGCAGTGAGGGTGTAGCAGCAGCAGATGGAGGTGGAGGGGGAGTATGAGTGCGGGATGTCGTTGAACACCACCTGGGAGAAGGTGCGGGCCGAGGAGTCGGCTGCTGCGGCCCCTGAAGGCCTCTCCATGCTGGACTGACACACAAAGAGACGATGAGACACCGGAGGAACTGAGGACATCAGCTGTCTCACTGTCTTCAGTCCAAACCTGCGTTTATAAGTTTCCTTTCGCTCGTTGCGCACTAGAATATAACGTTCCCACCTAGACACTCAATTCACCTCAAGCAAACACTCCCCCACAACTAAACCAGACGAGTCTCAGCATTACAACCACCTGACACTGAGCTTTAATCTGCTTTAATTACTAGAAAAGGTCAGTTTGTGGGAATAAAACAGAAACAGAAAGTAACCCAGAGAAACAACAGACCGCACCCAGGACGCTGCTGCACTTCATTCTGAGGCTCGACAATATAAAGAGTGTTGTGAGAGTTTGATGAATCCTCCATGGAGGAGTGATGTAGAGATGAAGATTTCAAACTTACTTATTTGTTGAGACGTCGGAGCTGAAGCCTCACCGCTGGCCTGCTCCCTGTGCTGCCTTCAGGTGCTGCTCGGGCATTTGACCTTCCAGAGTAGACGCGACTCTACAAGGCAAACAGTGTACAATTAATGCAACTTATCTGGATCTAAAGCCACTTTTAATTTATTTTAAATAACTGAAAATTATTAAATAAATAACGTTTCCAAATGTGCTTTGATTTTTTTGTGATCAAGG